TGGATCCAACCCAAAACCTGGGTATGTGCCCTGACCAGGAATCGAACCAGCAACTTTTCGGTGCATGGGACAATGCTCAGCCAACTGAGCGACTCTGGCCAAGGTGAAATATAGTATTTTAATACCTAACCCATGAAAAATTCACCACAATTCTTTTTTCCCCCTTTTTTATTTTCTTGTAGATGGTCCATAAACCAGCATTTGAGGATCACAAGTTTAGTCTAATCACCTCCCTTTGCAGATCAGGAAACAGGACCAAAGTTAGAGAGCAGGTCTTTCTTTATTATTAAATCTTTATTGTTCAGAATATTATATATGTCCCCTTTATTCCCCCATTGACCTCTTCTAGCCCACCCGCATCCCCCACCCTAGGCTGTCACCACCCTGTTGTCTGTGTCCATGGGTTATGCCTATATGCATATAAGTTCTTTGGTTGATCTCTTCCCTCCCACCCTCACCTTACCTCAGAGATTCCACAGTCTGTTCCATGCTTCTGTGTCTCTGGATCTGTTTTGCTCATCAGTTTATTTTGCTCATTAGATTCCACATATGAGTGAGATCATGTGATACTTATCTTTCTCTGACTGGCTTATTTCATTTAGCATAATACTCTCCAGGTCCCTACACACTGTTTCAAAGGATAAGAGATCCTTCTTTTTTTACTGCTGCATAATATTCCATGGTATAAATGTACCACCAGTTTTTTATCCACTCATCTACTAAGGGGCACTTGGGCTGTTTCCAGGTCTTAGCTCAGGGGTCCTCAAACTTTTTTAACAGGGGGCCAGTTCACTGTCCCTCAGACAGTTGGAGTTTAAAAAAAAAACTATGAACAAATTCCTATGCACACTGCACATATCTTATTTTGAAGTAAAAAAACAAAACGGGAACAAATACAATATTTGTATTTGCATGTGGCCCGCGGGCCATAGTTTGGACCCCTGTCTTAGCTATTGTAAATTGTGTTACCGTGATCATAGGGGTGCATACATTCTTTCTGATTGATGTTCCAGGTCTCTTAGGATATATTCCTAGAAGTAGGATCACTGGGTCAAATGGCAGTTCCATATTAATTTTTTGAGGAAACTCCATTCTTTTTCCCATAATGCTGCACCAGTCTGCATTCCCACTAGCAGTGTACTAGGGTAGAATCCAGGTCTTGACAGATACACTCTAGTCTTTTTTTCCATAGTCCTATGCTGTGCTCTTTGGCTCTCCATTTATGAAGCGTTGACTTGGCTTTTGGTTAGAAATATTAATTTCAGGTGAGTTTAAGCATCTAGGTTTCAAATCAGCAGAACCCAAGACCAAACTATGGTTTAGTTCAGTGATGGTGAACCTTTTGAGCTTGGCGTGTCAGCATTTTGAAAAACCCTAACTTAACTCTGGTGCCGTCTCACATATAGAAATTTTTTGATCTTTGCAACCATAGTAAAACAAAGATTTATATTTTTGATATTTATTTTATATATTTAAATGCCATTTAACAAAGAAAAATCAACCAAAAAAATGAGTTCGCGTGTCACCTCTGACATGCGTGTCATAGGTTCGCCATCGCTGGTTTAGTTAGTGGTCACCAACCGGTGGTCCATGAGGTTCAAAAGGTTGGTGACTGCTGGTTTAAGGAAACCTTTGGAGCAGCGGTCGCCAACCGGTGGTCTGAGGACCACTGGTGGTCCATGAGGTCCAAAAGGTTGGCAACCGCTGGTCTAGGCCATCTGTGTACGTAGAAGTAGCAGCCAAAAGGTCTTTAAGACTTGTTTCTCTGTCCATTTATTAGACCTGTTTTCTCATCCCAAAACAGGTTGAGATTGAATGTTCATAGTCAATTGACTGGTGGCTAAGTATCACATAACATGGATAAGTCTATATTTCCAATTCCTTACTATATCTGAAAAGTTTTGAAATATTAAGCTAAAAATACTACTTACTACAAAAGCCTAGGAAAATATAATTAGTTAAGACATTTAAATTATTTTCCTTCAGCATGTCAGCTCTGTTTTCAACTCTAAGTTAATTGAATTCAACGTATTATCATACATAAGTTTTGAAGACTTAGTCCTTTTATCTAAAGTTAGAGTCAACAGAAAGAGGTTATTTGTGTTGAGATTTACAGAAAGATAATGTTAAATGGCCAGTTTGCAGCCCTAGCCAGTTTGGTTCAGTGGTTAGAGTGTTGCAAATGAAACAATTGTGCTACTGTGTCAGGGCTAACTTAGGTTGTGAGGTGTCAGAAAAACCAGACCCTATTTTAAGGCAGAGGGTTAGAGTGACAGGCAGGGTGAAGATGTTAGTGAGGACAGAGAAGATATGAAGTGACCCTGGGGAGGCTTTGTGAGGAAGAGGGAAGGGTGATTTATAAAATTAGGTAGAGGCTCTTTTTTTTATTTTCTAATTACAAAAAGAGCCTTGCTTCAGATGGAGGTGGTGGTTTGTGAGATCTACAATTACTGTATTTTTTATCTTCTTACCACAGGAGTGGTGTCTTTTTTTAAAAAAAAAAATTTTATTAATTTCAGAGAGGAAGGAAGAGGGAGAGAGAAATAGAAACATCAGTGATGAGAATCATTGATTGGCTGCCTCCTGCACGCTCCCCACTGGGGATTGAACCCACAACCCGGGCATGTGCCCTTTACTGGAATCTTGGTCCGCAGGTCGAGGCTCTATCCACTGAGCCAAACCGGCCAGGGCAGGAGTAGTGTCTTTTTAAAGGTATTTTTTTGTGATTGAAAAAGTAGTTGGGACTTGGCCCCATTTTGTCTTTTGATGGCTGGAGCATTCTTTTTGTTTTGTTTTGTTTTTTAATATATTTTATTGATTTTTACAGAGAGGACGGGAGAGTGTTAGAGAGTTAGAAACATTGAAAGAAAGAAACATGAGCTGCCTTCTGCACAACCCCTACTGGGGATCAAGCCCGCAACCAAGGTACATGCTCTTGACTGGAATCAAATCCCAGACCCTTCAGTCTGTGGGCCAACTCTCTCTCCACTGAGCCAAACTATTTAGGGCTGGAGCATTCTTTATAAATTTTTTTTAAAATTTATTGATTTGAGAGAAACATCACTTTGTTGTTATACTTATTTATGCATTCATTGGTTGATTTTTGTTGTTGTTATTGTTGTTAATCCTCACCCTAGGATATTTTTTCCATTGATTTTTAGAAAGAATAGAAGGGAGGAAGGGAGGGAAAGAAAGAGAGAAAGAAACATCAATGCGAAAGAGGCAAATCGATTGGTTGCCTCCGCCACACGCCCCCAACCGGGACAGGGAACCAAACCCATGAACCTTCGGTGCCCACGCCAAAGCTCTAATCACTGAAAAACACCAGCCAGGGCCATTGGTTGATTTCTTGTGTGTGCCCTGCCCAGAGATTGAACCTGCAACCTTGGCATATTTGGGCATACTCCAGTGATGGCGAACCTATGACACGCGTGTCAGAGGTGACACGCGAACTCATTTTTTTGGTTGATTTTTCTTTGTTAAATGGCATTTAAATATATAAAATAAATATCAAAAATATAAATCTTTGTTTTACTATGGGTGCAAATATCAAAAAATTTCTATATGTGACACGGCACCAGAGTTAAGTTAGGGTTTTTCAAAATGCTGACCCGCCGAGCTCAAAAGGTTCGCCATCACTGGCATACTCTAACCAACTGAGCTACCCAGCCAGACTTGGAGTATTCTTATAGATATGCTTGTGTTAGTGATACTGTGTTGGAATACCTCTGAAAAGACCCAACCAGATTCCTAGCCAGTGTTACTAAACTTTTGTGTCCTGTAAGAAAGTATCCTCCCACAGAGGGATTATTAAATTAAGGTATGGGGGGATAAATATTGATGGAAAAAATAAAGAGAAAAATTAAGGGATTCTGGAACCCCCTTAGTGTTCAAGAATGTTAGAGTCAGCCTGGCCAGTGTGGCTCAGTGGTTGAGCATCAAACTGAACCAGGAGGTCACTAGTTTGATTCCCTGTCAGGACATATGCCCGGGTTTGGGGCTTGATCCCCAGTAGGAGGCATGCAGGAGGCATCCGATGGATGATTGTCATCATTGATGTTTCTATCTCTTCCTCTTTAAAGTCAATAAAAATATATTTTAAAATATAGGTAGATTGATTGATAGATTTAAAAAAGAATGTTAGAATCAGAAGAAACCTTAGGAATTACCTGTTTCAACCTTCTTATTTTATAGTTGGAGAAACAAACTCACATGAAATGAGAAACTTGTTGAAACAACTTATATTGGCAAGTCTAGAACCATAAGTCCATGAGTCCTGGCTCAGTACTCTTTTCATGGTACTATTTAGTTGTTGAAGCAATTGATATTTTGAAAATTAGACCACAGTTATAGTACTAGGTTTTGAGAGGAGTTAGGAAGAACATTAAAGTGTTTTTGTAGTATGTGAGTAAGTAATTCACAATATTAGGAATGATTGCATTTGAAGAGAAAGCTAGAGAATAAAAAGGTATATTTGTGTTTTTATTTTGTGGAGGGTCTTTGTTGTTGTTGTTGTTAATCCTCACCCGAGGATATTTTTCCATTGATTTTTAGGGAGAAGAGAAGAGAGAGGGAAAGACAGAGAGAAATATTGATGTGAGAGAAATACATCGATTACATCAATTGGTTGCCTCCTGTTGTGCCCTTGACCAGAATTGAACCTGGGACCCTTTGGTCCGCAGGCCGGTGCTCTATTCACTGAGCCAAACTGACTAGGGCTATATTTGTGTTTTTAAATTGGGGGTTATTTTTCAACTGCACAGTACCAAACTAATTTAAATTATTATTATTTATATTTTTTCTTTCCGTTATTATAACCTGTTGATGTGGGGTGTCTGTGCACAAGCATGTACTTACACTACCCAGTGATCATCCCTAGGATGAAATAGATAATTGGTTCAAAAGGGAGGAGCTTATATTAAATCTGGGGACTGGTCCTAAATTGTACATGTGGTATGGAGCATGAATTGGTGTATATGTTGTACTTGTGGTTTCTGCAGGTTATTAGTGCATCCCTGAGCATGAATGCAGAATGAAGCGACGTTTGGATGACCAAGAATCACCAGTGTATGCGGCTCAGCAGCGGCGGATCCCTGGTAACACAGAGGCTTTTCCTCATCAGCACCGAGTGCTTGCCCCCGCCCCTCCTGTGTATGAAGCTGTGGCGGAGACCATGCAGTCAGCCACGGGCATTCAGTACTCCGTCACTCCCAGTTATCAGGTGAGCTGACACTGCAAGGCACTGCACCAAGGCCAGTATGATGGTTTCATCCAGCTAGAAGTTTTTGTTTGTTTTTAAGAAATATGTTTTTATTAATTTCAGAGAGAGGAAAGGAGAGGGAGAGATAGAAACATCAATGATCAGAGAGAATCCTTGATCAGCTGCCTCCTGCATGCCCCTTACTGGGGAATGAGCCCACAATCCGGGCATGTGCCGTAACTGGGAATTTAACCGTGACCTCCTGGTTCATAGGTCAATGCTCAACCACTGATCCACACTGGCTGGCCAGTTAGAAGTTTTTATTAAGCATTCAGTGAGATATAAAATATTTATGAGATATGTGTAAGTTATAAAATTAATGAAAATAATGTACAGTTGTGTACTCACCACGTAAGTTTATAAAGAAGAAGGTTGTTATGACCTTGGTGTTCACTCTTTATTCTTTCCTGAACCCTTTTCCTTTTTCATCACTTCAGAGGTAGTCACTGATCTGAACTTCGTTTGCATTTGTCATTTCCTCGGCTTTATTTTTTTTTAAGTCATTTTGTTTATATCTTTAGACACTAAAATTGTTTGGTTTGGGTATTTTTTAACCTTTATATAAATGAAAACATTAATATTTTCTTCTTTGGCGCTTTTTTTCACTCGGTGTGATTCCCAAGACATAGCCATATTTTTATGAGTAACTGAGTCATTTGTCACCCTGTTATGAATTATATGAATATATCCAGTTTATTCTATAAATGGACAGTTTGTTTCCAGATTTATGCTTTTTTATAAAGGCGCTACTGTGAATGTCCTAGGTGGCTCTCTAGTGCAGTGGTACTCACAGTGGTGACCCTATGACAAAGTAAACTTTTACCAGAATCTAAAAGAACACACTACTTTTGTCAAGAGAGTCTTGCTTGAGTAAAAAAAGGCAACTGAATTAATTAGTGTACTTATTAGTGAAGTAGTTGGTTTACATTTTGGCGCAAACTTTTTATCTTCTTGCAGACCACTCAGCAGGTGAGAGGGCACATGAGGAAGGGTTGCTCCAGTATATAGGAGAGGGATTGCTGAGTCCTAGGGTGTGCACATCTTCACTTTAGCAGGTGATGTCAGATTGGCTTTCAGAATTGTACCAATTTATATTTCCACCAACATTGTATATTCCTATTGTTTACATCCTGACCAACTTGATCTATTTTGCGAAAAAAGAAGAAATTTAATTTTTTTATCTTTTTAAATTAGGAAAGTAAATATCATCATTACAAAAAAAAAAAGGAAAAAAAAAGATATAATTACCTTTTCTAATTACCCCTCGACTTTATCTCACTGGTGTATTTCTTGGGTTTCCAGCATTTTGTATGCATATACAAACATATCTATATTTACTTGCCTACCTATCTAGATACACTTCTCTTTTTATACAATTTGGATCATACAGTATATACTGTTGTGCTATTTGCTCTTTTCACTTATTATATAGTAGAAAACTTTCCACTTGAATATATGTAGAGATCCAAGTAATTTTTTTAAAGAATTACTGCATAGGTAATATTCCATCCCAGGTCATCTGAATCATAACTTATTTAACTGGTCTGGAGAGGCCTTCTTATAAGTACCGCGCGCTAACCGATTGCGCCACTGGAGCTCCTGGAGAGGCCTTCTTCAACCTAACTTGTTAGTGACTTTTAAAAGATATGACTAGTGCCCTAGCTGGTTTGACTCAGTGGATAGAGTGTCGGCCTGTGGACTGAAGGGTCCTGGGTTGGATTCTGGTCATGGGCACAATGCCCAGGTTGTGGGCTCAATCCCTAGTGGGGGGCGTGCGGGAAACAGCTGATCCATGATTCTCTCTCATCATTGATGTTTCTATCTCTCTCCCCCTCTCCCTTCCTCTCTGAAATCAAAACTATATTTTAAAAAATAAAAGCTATAACTGGTGCTGGGAATATAAATTGGTATAATTTTCCTTGAGAACAGTTTGACAATTGTGTCAGATTCTGGAGTTACAAGAAAGCAATCAAAGAAGAAAGAAACCAGGTGAAGTAGGATATGGTGATTCCTTAGGTGTGCCACTCTTTCTCAGGAGTCCCCCTTGAAGCAGTATAATTCCTTTATATACTTCATGTACAGATCAAATGACTGCTACAAATCAAATCTTTAAGTTAGGGCCTGGAAGAAAAAAAGGTTGCTTGTTTTCCTTGGCTGATTATTTTTATCTGAACAGGTTCATGATTGTTTCCTACACTTGAGATAACGTTATATCTGTTTTTATACTAGAAACTATAATGTGTTCATATAAAACCAGCCATCTCAAAGAATTATAAACTAAACCTGTCCAATTTATTCATATTAGAACTAGAAGCTCAAAATAATAACACGTGAGATATATTAGAGCTTTTAGAATTGTCTTAAGTATTTTTTTTTTTTACTCCTAATGTTATATTGTATTATTTCTATGGATTTGTATTATTTCTACGCAGGTTAATCTTTATAAATTTGTGGGGAATCTGGAAAAAACGCACACATATCTTCTCATTAGTTGTAGGACACAACTTTGTTTAGAGAAAGTTTCATGTACAGAGGACTGCTACAGATCAAATCTTTAAGTTTAGGACTTGGAAGAAAAAAAAGTTGCTTGTTTTCCTTACTTTCCTTATTTTGGAGATGTGGCAAGTCAGGTATATTTGTCTTTAGTTGTCGTCTGTAGTGAGTAACAGTTCTGAAATAGGAAAACTTTAAAAAGTTTTGTAAATGTTATATAGCATTACTTGTAATAGAAATGGGAGGAAAGCGGCTTGTGCTTTTATGTCCCCCTAAACTTATAAGAGAATGAATGTGCATGAGAAAATAGAAAAGAAAGATGTCTGAGGTCAAAACAACAATTTAGAAAAAAATTTTGTTTATTTTAGAAACAAATAAGGATAAGAAAAATAAAACAAAGTAAAATTCTTTTCTAACCCCACACCACAAGATAAAATGCTAACATTTTGATGTATATTTGTTGTCTAGGTTTTAAAATCTTTTTATTGTATTTTATATACTGCTTTGTAATGTGCTTTATAAAATTATTTAAAAGTTTAAATTCAGCCGAAACCGGTTTGGCTCAGTGGATAGAGCGTCGGCCTGCGGACTGAAAGGTCCCAGGTTCAATTCCGGTCAAGGGCATGTACCTGGGTTGCGGGCACATCCCCAGTGGGAGATGTGCAGGAGGCAGCTGGTCGATGTTTCTCTCTCATCGATGTTTCTAACTCTCTATCTCTCTCCCTTCCTCTCTGTAAAAAATCAATAAAATATATTTTAAAAAAAAGTTTAAATTCATATTGGAAATGGGAACACAAATACATTCAACTTATGGATTGTGAACATTTTTTTCTTTTTAATTAAATTTATTGAGGTAACATTGGCTAATTACATTATATAGGATTCAGCTTTACAGTTCTATGATACATCATCTGTATATTGCATTGTGTGCCCATCATCCAAAGTCAAATTTTTTGTCACCATATATTTGATTTCTTTTGTCCTCTACAAGATTGTGAACATTTTTTTAATGTTATAAAATACTAGAGGCCTGGTGCATGAAATTCGTGCACGGGTAGGGTCCCTAGGCCTGGCCTGCAATCAGGGCCGATCTTCCCTGGCTGCCACCGGTCGCCCTCTGTGTGTGGGGCGACCGGCAGGCAATCGGGCCCCACTCACTCACATCCACCTTGGCCTGGCGCTGCCCGCGTCCACTGCCACCCACCCCCAGTTTCCCATACCCTATCGGGCGATCAGAGCCTACCAGCCAGGGGAAGGGACCAAGAGGTTGGCCAGCAGGCTCTGGTTGGGCAATCAGGGCCTGTGGGCTGGGGGCAGCTCCTGTGTAAGTAGAAATTTAGTGTTTAGAAACTTTTATAGCGACTAGACATTGTAATTTTATATGTGTAAAATCCAATAGTGAAAATTGTGGGCTGATGTATTTTTTATTTCACTTTTCTGGTAATCCATTTTTACTTTATTTTTTATTATGTATTTATTATTTACTTACTTATTTTTAATCCTCACCTGAGGAGTGAGGATATTTTCCCCTTGATTTTTAGAGAGAGAGTGGAAGGGGGGTGGGGGGGAGAAAATCCATGTGACAGAGACACATTGATTGGTTGCCTCCCACACATGCCCTGACTAGGGGCAGGGATTGGACCCGAAACCCAGGTACGTACGTGCCCCTGACCAGGAATCAAACCCGCAACCCTCTGGAGCACAGGCCGATGCTCTAACCAGCAGGCAATGCCGGCCAGGGCCTTTTTTACTGTATTTTATAAAAGTAGCAGCCCATGATGGATTGTAATTTAAGAAAAAAGGAAAACTGGTGCTTAACCACAGATAGTTTGAGAAGTACTGAGCTATGTAATACATAACAGAATGTATAGGATTTTATAATGAGTGTGCTATAATTTATTTCACCAATTTCATCTTGTGGAAAATTTGAGTTTCTAGTTATCTTTGTGTATGTATGTTCTTTAAACACATTTGGGCAAGAATACACAAGCCTTGACCTTTCCTGTATCTCTTTTGTCCACCCCAGGTTTCAGCTGTGCCACAGGGCTCTGGTGGCAGTCATGGACCCACCATAGCAGCGGTTCATAGCAGCCATCATCACCCAACAGCTGTGCAGCCCCACGGAGGCCAGGTGGTCCAGAGTCATGCTCATCCAGCCCCACCAGTTGCACCAGTGCAGGGACAGCAGCAGTTTCAGAGGCTCAAGGTGGTATTCAGCTCTTTTCCTTCCATCAAAAAGTTTCTCTCATAGCAGGCAACAAACATTTCTGGAATTTATGAATGCATGGCACTCAGATCAGGATTGAGGGGCCATTTTCATATGAAATCAACAAAGTCCAGTTTTTGGAAGTCTCATTTTGAACTCTTAGTTCTTTTTTTAAAAAAAATATTTTTATTGCTTTTTAGAGAGAAAGGGAGGGAGAGAGAGAGAAATATCCATATGAGAGGGAAACATCGGTTGGCTACCTCCTGCATGCCCCCTACCAGAGATCGAACCTACAACCTGGGCATGGGCCCTGACCCAGAATCAACCAGCAATCTTTCAGTGTGTGGGATGAGGTCCAACCAACTGAGACACACCATTGGCCAGGGTATGTGCCATAGGTTTTCAGTGCTTTGAAATCCATGAGGCATCTGTGGAGAAGTGAAGTTTGTGTTCCCAGCTAATTTTCACTCTCTGCTTGAGTGTTATTTTTTAGAATGTGTGTGATTGTTGCCACAAATGTTCCAGATTTCAGTTTTTTTCTTTTTACATTAATATAAAGCTTAAACTTGAGCGCAGGAAATATAAAATTAAAGAACTGTAAAGAGAAAAGAAAGATGTTGGATGTTTATTTGGTCCAGTCATCCTAATTATATTAAGTAGCTTGCAGGTGGGAATGTATAATATACCCTTGAAGGATACATTATGTTTAGCAAATATCTCAGCCTTCTTTTCCTTGATACTTAGTCAAGTTCACCTTGATCCTGTTCTCCTTGGTTTGAGTTCTCAGGAACTTCCTATATAATAAAAGCCTAATATGCTAAGTGTTCAGTCATCTGTTCAACCAATCAAAGCGTAATATGCTAATGATATGTTAGGGCTGTTCAACCACTCACTGTGACATGCACTGACCACCAGGGGGCAGATAGTTGACCGGTCGACCAGTTGCTATGACGTGCACTGACCACAGGAGGCAGATGCTCCGACTGGTAGGTTAGCTTCTGCTGGGGACTGAGATGGGCTGGACACACCCTGGAGCCCTCCCGCCTCCCCGGCTGGCCAACCTCCTGTGTCCCTCCCTGGCCCTGATCATGCACCGGTGGGGTCCCTGGGCCTGGCCTGTACCCTCTCGCAATCTGGAACACCTCGGGGGATGTCTGAGAGCTGGTTTCGGCCCAATCCCACTCAATGCAGGAGCTGCCCCCTGGTGGTCAGTGCGCTCCCACGGTGGGTGCTGTTCAGCCAGAAGCCGGGCTCACAGCTGGCGAGCACATTGTTGGTGGCAGGAGCCTCTCCTGCCTCTGCAGCAGTGCTAAGGATGTCCAACTGAGGGCTTAGGCCCGTGGGGAGCAGGTCTAAGCCGTCAGTCAGACATCCCCAGAGGGCTTCTTGACAGCAAGAGGGTGTAGGCTGGGCTGAGGAAACCGCCCCCCCAAGTGCACAAATTTCATGCACCGGGCCTCTAGTGTTTAATATTGGCCTAAGGAAAGTAAATGCTACATAAATATAAAGCACACTAATGCTGAGCTGTATAGAAGGATTTTATAAAATTTTTATTTTCTATATTACCTTAAATAATGAAGAGTTGACTGTATTTAAGCATAGTCTTTAAAAAGAGTACAAATTATTTGTGGGCCTGAAACTTCACTCTGGGCTCTGTCTTTGGGGGAAATATGTATTAGCTATATTGTTTTCCCTATAACATTTTAACTCTCTGCTTATAGAGTGATGTCTGTGTACCAAAATGTATTATTACTATACTTAGCTCTTCACCAAGCTCTAAAAATATTTTGGTAAAAGTTGGTTTGATGTGACTTAATTCCAGCAGTTAATACCTAATGTTGCAAAAGAGCTTATAAACTTGCTATTAGGCTAACGAAAATATATTTATTTTTATAGCTTTTGTCAGCCAGCTCTATCAAAGCACAACATCTATTTTACCTTCCTCACTGGGGTATAAATAGACTGTGCTTTATCTGTTTTACAGAAACTATAAAGGAAGCAAGAAAGGGCTTTGGAGTCATGGGTCGAGTTAGGACTTTTGCTCTGTTTTTTTTAGTTACAAGCTTTTTTATTTACCTACCTTTTTATTTTATTTTAACTTTTGCATTTTTAAATTAAATTTATTGGGGTTACATTGGTCAACATGAGTATATAGGTTTCAGGTGTGGGTTCCTATGTTACAAGATTTGTATATTGCACCGTGTACCCACCACTCAAAATCAAATCTTCACCTGTCACCATTTACCCCCACCCCCTACATGCTCTTGAATGGGATTCCTGAACGCAGTAACTTGTTGCATTTTCTTTCTAATAAGGAGAAGTAAAATGCTTTCTTGTGCCTTCATGTAATTTCATTCAGTATTCTCACATTGCCTGCCATTTTTGGATTAGTTTTAAAAAGCTTTATGAGCATTTGAATCCACTTCAGTAAACAGTTTATATTCTGTAATAAGGAAGTGTCCAGTAAGAATGCATAGGCTGTTTCTTTTTATTAATTATTTTAAACATTTTTAAAGTAGTTTGTTTTTCTTTTTTTTTATTTTATTATTTTTTTTAATCCTCACCTGAGGATATTTTTCTATTGATTTTTTAGAGAGAGTGGAAGAGAGGGGGAAAGACAGAGAGAAATATCGATGTGAGAGAAACACAGATTGGTTGCCTCCTGCACGAGCCCCAGACAGGAGGAGCCTGCAACCGAGGTATGTGCCCTTGACCGGAAGGAATCGAACCTGAGACCCTTCGGTTCACAGGCCATCGCTCTATCTGCTGAGCCAAATCGGCTAGGGCAGTGTAGGCTATTTCAAGCACCAACACTGTCTATACTTTTTTGTCTTTGGCATATTGATGGAAGATTTGAATAATTTGAGGCTTGCTTGGTGTACTTTAGTTATCTATTGATATTTGGCACATATTTAGTGAGCTCTCTTTACAGTTTGTGTTTTCTCACCTCCCAATAAACTTATGAACTTCAGGAGGTTAGGAACCTTAATAAATGCCTATTGAAGTGAATCAGGAAAATGCGTCAGCAGAGTGTTAAGAGTCTCCTCTCTAGTGCCCCCTTAAATGTGTAGCTTCTAAATGACTAGTTCCAAATGTGTGTTTTTTTTAAGTTGTGGTTTCTAGAACTGCATACTTGCTTTTGAACTATACTTTAGATAATGAGAGAATTTCCACACTCTTTACATGCAGTTATCTCATAATGTGGTGTCAAAGCTATTTTTTTTAAGCATAGTGTTATTTTATAATTAATTTTTAAATAGGGGTTTACTAGGACCTATACCTTTTCTTCCAAACATAAACACATCATGTATAATTTCTTTCCTTTGGGTTTCTGCACTTTTTCTCTCTGTTGTAATTACATTATACCATAGTATGTTTGTTTATTTATTTTTTAACTTTAATTTTTTTGGTGTTTGTTTATTTTTGATAACTCCTCCTTTGTCGTATGATTGTGAACGCTATTTTAAAATATCTTCCAAAGTCTTTGTTACTTCTGCAAACTTAATGAGTTTTATGTACCATCAATTTGTCATTAATGAAACATTTCAATATGGAAAGTTCTGAATATGAATTAGTTTATTGAGTTTCAATAGAAATTGTCATGCTATTTGTAAAGAAAAACCAGCCATCAAATGAGTGCGTATCAACCAAACATATAATCTGTGCTCTAGCAACACTGAAATACACTGATTAATTATGGCCATTTTGGAAGTTTGGGCAACTCTTGAGATGTCATTTAATGCTTTATTTGAACATAAATGTTCTATTTCACAATATTTATCACGAGTAGAGTTTATCAAATCAGTTTATTTTTGAAACTTTCCTAAACTTGATATTTTGTATAATTTAAAATAATCCCAGAGTATATAGGAAGCACCTAGTAGGTAATTTCCTTGGATATCTCCTGAGTAACTAAAAAGTAAGTTGTTCTAAATCAGACTTATAACTTTCTAGCCCTTCAAACTGTTTCTCTTTGCAAATGCCCAAATAATTTATAATTTAGTGAATCCTCCTTTTCCGTTATCTCCCATATTCAGTCAGTCCCCAATCCCTGTCATTTCTGAGTCCTAAAAAACTTTTGAATCTATTCAGTTCTCCCTGTTCCTTTGGTCAGGACTATAGTTTGAGCAACTACTGTTCACATGTGAGTTAGCCTTGGAGCATAACTGGTTTTCCTGCCTCCTTTCAATCTATCCTGCTCTTGTACCAATTTGTCTCAGTACTGTAGCCAAATTGAATACATTAAAATGCAGATAACAATCTCAGTTGCTTTCTAACAAGTTTTAAAGGTCTTTTAGGATCAGGTCCTGCTTCCTCTTCTGTCTCCTCTTGTCACTCTTCTTCTTGCCACCATTCCTCCTCTTCAACACAAACCCTCCAGGCAAATTAAATTGTTTGCAATTTTCTAAGTGAACTAGTGTCCTGTCGGGGATTTTGCCCATGCTGTTTCCTCTGACTTTCTCATGAGTCTTCACTTTTGCTAACTTGTATTCATCCTTTAAGACTCAGTTTACAAATTACTTCCTGGGGAAGCCTTTGTGCTCTTCTCATGTTCTCTCTGGGTGTTCAGTGATTGTCCTCTTATACCACTGTGTTAGGATTCCCAGCTAGATGTGAGAGAACTTCTACAGAGCAGGGACTGTGGCTTATTTGTCATTGATTCATTAGTACCCCACTTTGGGCCTGATATAGCATGTTGTAGCTTTAGTAGATATTTGTGAGATGAATAAATGAACAAATAAGTGAATGAGATATTCATGTGTATGCTTCACTAATCATTTTTTCCAAAAGTATCCAAGGCAAGGCTACTTGATTTTTATTTGAAGCTTGTGCTTTATTATTGATATCCATACTAATTTTTAATACTTTAATGTTTTACTATATATACCTATTTCATTTACTATGTTAATTTTATTTAGGCATAAATCATTTGTTTGTTTTTTATCATTCTTGGCTTATTTCCTTTTTATAACCTGCTTCAGGTGGAGGATGCACTGTCCTATCTTGACCAGGTGAAGCTGCAGTTTGGTAGTCAGCCTCAGGTCTACAATGATTTCCTTGACATCATGAAGGAATTTAAATCACAGAGGTAAAAGATATATGTAGTTGTACACAAGCTTTGTGCTTAGGATGTTGATTTTGGAGGGAGGATATAGCTTATTCTGTCTTCTGAAAGATAATGGATGTCCCTTTTGGGGGGTTTAATTTTCGGGGTGATGCTTTAATTTGATGTATTGATTTATTGATGAAAATTATAGTCCCTAGATCTTAACTAAAATCTTCTTATGATTTCATCACAAAACAAGGGAGTAGACTGGTAATGATTAGGCTACTTGCTCTTTGACTTAAGATACACAAATATTCTGGCATGGTTCATTGTTATAAGAGCGTAGCTAACTAATTGGGAAAATGTAGATACATGATGATTTATACTGGTGTATCACAGGTTGGATATTGCTTGGAAATTGCAGCTTTAGATTTACTGTCTGAGTATCTGCTTTATAGGATTGTTATTAACTGTATATTCTGTTCAAAATTGTGACCAAATGTCTTTGAAATTTCAAATTTCTTTGTATGTTCTTAATTTTGTAATATGCAGGTTGATTTTTATCTATTTTCCTGTCTAGAGAATGTAGTCAGTGTGATTTTTTTTTTCTTACTATAGTGCTTCTCAAGTTTGCCAATTTTATTTTTTTTTATCAGCATCGACACTCCAGGAGTGATAAGTCGTGTGTCCCAGCTCTTCAAAGGCCACCCAGACCTGATCATGGGCTTCAATACCTTCTTGCCTCCTGGCTACAAGATTGAGGTGCAAACCAATGACATGGTGAATGTGACAACTCCTGGCCAGGTCCATCAGATTCCCACCCATGGCATCCAGCCCCAGCCTCAACCACCACCCCAACATCCTTCCCAGCCTTCAACCCAGTCAGCCCCAGCTCCTGCCCAGCCAGCTCCTCAGCCCCCACCTGCCAAAGTCAGCAAGGTGAGCACTTGGAATACTTTGCATTACATGAAATGCATCCCTAGAAACCACCCTCTTTTGACATTTCCCCTTTATATAAGACTAGATAGACATATTGCAGTGATTTCATCAGAGAAGGTGCAGTAGTCATATCCCTATCAAATGGTTCACATTTACATACCACATATTTAGATCTGTTTAAATCAAGTCATGAACAACCTACAAGGACTCTCTTGCCCCCAACTTCTGCTTATTGAACCAAGAGCACCCCAATAGGTGGAAACTTTGCTTGGGTAGTGAGTGGTACTTTGACAGCACAGGCAGAAATGGTCATCTTATGATCAGATTATGCTACTGGCTACATGGTCATCATTTTACAGAGGCTACTCCATTTACCAGACTAGGTCATAATCAAGCTAAGCAGAAAATTCTGATGACAATGATAATAATAATGGGTGTACTTTATCTAAAACTGCATTGTCTGATACAGTAGCCACATGTGGCTATATAAAAATTTAAATTAATTAAAGTAAATTCAGTTTTTCAGTTGCACTAGCTGCGTTTCAAGTACTCAGTAGCCTCATGTGGCTGGTGGGTATCATTCAGGACAGTGTAAATAAAGAACATTTCCATCATCAGAGTTCTGTTGGACAGAGCTGGTGTACAAGACTTTGATGTGGAGTTACTGTAACATTAAATTGTCTCTTTTGACACTAAAGATACATGTAGAATGAGTTTTTTTCTATTCTTCTTGCACCTGTTGAGCTAGTATACTTAAAATTGCATGTGAAAAGTTCTTCCTGTATCTATTTTTAAGGCTGTATTTAGAAATTTTGAAACTGAAATATTTGTATGAGAATTGTGAGCCCTCTACATTTCCCACCCCTGCCCAATGTGATTTGAGTTGGGCTGAAATGGCCTGGCCAGAGTGAATAAAGGATATAAGTTAATCAGACACCTTGTTTCTCTTTAGTTCAAACTTTCCTATGTCAAACCATCTGTTCCTGAGGAGAATAAAGACTTTTTTCTTTTTAGCCTTCCCAACTACAAGCACATACTCCCGCCAGCCAGCAGACCCCCCCACTCCCACCATACGCATCCCCACGCTCTCCACCTGTCCAACCTCATACACCAGTGACAATCTCGTTGGGAACGGCCCCATCCTTGCAGAACAATCAGCCTGTGGAGTTTAATCATGCTATCAACTATGTTAATAAGATCAAGAACAGGTTCCAGGGCCAACCAGACATCTATAAAGCATTCCTGGAAATTTTGCACACATATCAGGTAAGAGAGTTACCCTTTCATCCTGTCTTAACCAGGTCACCCTCTGAGGGCATCTAGTCTAAGAAGAAGTTGAATAAATATTATTGTGTCTCCTAATTCTTACTGGGAATGAACCAGTTGAAAACTATGATAAGTACTTATAAAGCATTTTATTGCTTGGCTTTAATTACCTTATAGCAGGTAGTCAGCATTTTTAAAGTTACTGCCCTGTGAAATGCATACTTATTTATGTGGGAAGTTTATAGGATGACTTGTGTAAGGAGAAATTTCTCTATAATTTTTTGTGTTTATCAATTGGTAGTGGTCCTCTGCAGATTCACAAACTAATTTTAAATATGTTTTAAAAAGGAATTGTCAGCCACCATTTTTCACACTTTCTCACCTTAAAGTTTGCAGTCAAAACAGTTGCTAAAAGTATAGACTTTTTCAAATGTAGCCCAAGTAGGTGACATACAGAGCTCCTGTCAGAAGTCTCAAAAAATGTGCAAAAGGAGTCATCAGTGCCCCTCCAATATGATCTCTTCTATTTGCAATTTGTCAGAAAGAGCAGCGAAATGCCAAGGAAGCTGGAGGAAACTACACTCCAGCGTTGACTGAGCAGGAGGTTTATGCCCAGGTGGCTCGCCTTTTTAAAAATCAGGAAGATCTGTTGTCAGAGTTTGGACAGTTTTTACCAGATGCCAACAGCTCTGTGGTAAGTTTTATTTAGAAGAACTACACTATTTAGAATTATTTTCTTAGGTAAATTAGGAAGCTGGAATCAGAAGGGAACTTTTTCTAAATGATACTTACTTGCTTTGATAAGAGCATTAATCTCTTTCATGTGTTTTAATTAGCTTTTAAGCAAAACAACTGCAGAGAAGGTTGATTCTGTGAGAAATGACCATGGAGGCACTGTGAAGAAGCCCCAACTGAACAACAAGCCACAGAGGCCCAGCCAGAATGGCTGCCAGATCCGGAGGCACTCTGGAACAGGAACCACCCCTCCGGTGAAGGTGAGAATGAGCAGCAGCTGCTCATTTTGACTTTCAGGAGCAATTCTAGTGGACAGGAACCCAGGGTTGGTCATGTGCTTTTATCCTAAGCATGTAGTCAGTTGGATCTTGGGTATTCAGGTGTATGGCATAGAAACTCAATGCAAAGCTTCTTATCTGGCTTTGCAACAAAATGTTAGAATACCACTAATTACTCAGATCAATATGCTTCTATGTTGTTAATCCTCAACCGAGAATAGATATTTTTTTCCATTGATTTTTTTTTTAGAGAGAGTGGAATAAGTGGGGAAGAAACATCGATGTGAGAGAGACACATCAGTTGCCTCCCACACATGCCCCGACAAGGACTGGGGATCAAACCTGCAACCCAGGTACCTGCTCTTGACTGGGAATCATATCTGAGACCCTTTGGTGAGCAGCCTGGCGCTCAAACCATTGAGAACACTGGCCAGGGCACTATGGTGTTTTATTTATTTTTTCTCTCTTTGTTATTAGCTGTCATCTGTTTTTTGTATTCTGCTAAGGGTTTCTGAGATGTTAATTTTTCCCTTCTTCTGATTTGATGCCTTAAATCTGCCTTGTGCTAAGAAAGATTACTAAGCTTATTGTTTCAGATATAAGTCAGTGGTCTCAGATTCTTCTGTGAGTAAAGTGCCTGTGCTTTGTGAGATCTCTTTGGTCTGGTGGCCTCTCGTACCCAAGGTTCTTTGTTGGGTTGCCTGATCTTATCTGTATCATCTTAATCTCCAAGGTAAGGTTTTCTGCTACAGCAAAAGAAGGTCTTAAACTACTGTTAGTGACCTGTTATATAAGGCTTCTTGGTAAACACTGCTAATCTGCCTGCAGAAAGCTGAGCCCACTCTCTTCCTCTTTGATGTGGAGAGGGCTAGGTGTAGGGACTGTGTGTTGCTTTAGTAAATTTTAAAGCAGTACAGAACATGGAAGAGAGGTGTGTCTGCAGTTTTATTAAAGAATAAAAGCTAGTGGAATTTCTAATAAAGAGTATTATTTAAATGAGTAGCAAGCAGGTCAACAGATCTGTTCCACTTCTGAGTTAGTCTTCTGCACGTGATTACCCACAGGTGGAAACACTACATTGGGGTTAGAATTCCCTCCCTACTTTTTGCTTAGGCAGTGTGAGCAGTGGCTATGGCTCCTCAGTGAGTGAGCTCTGGAATGACAAAGGTAAATGTGCTGTTTTTCCCAGAGTTTGTGTGTTTCTTCACAGATAGTTGAGATACAGCTTTTTAAAAATAAATTCTTGCCCTGGCTGGGTGGCTCGGTTGGTTGGAGCATTGTCCCATACACCAAAAGGTGGTAGATTTGATTCCCGGTCAGGGAACATACTCAGGTTGCGGGTTTGATCCCCTGTTGGGGCAAGTGTGGGAGGCAACCGATCAATGTTTCTCTCTTACAATGATGTTTATTTCCCTGTTCCTCTCTCTAAAATCAATTTAAAAAAACAAATGCCCTCCTTCCTTTTTTAAAAAAAGTAAATTTTGCCTGACACTTATGTCATGCCCTATTAATTCCTTTTAAAAAACCAGTCTTGCCCTAGCCTGTTTGGCTCAACGGTGAGAGGGTTGCCTTGGACTGTAGGGTCGTGGGTTCAATTCCAGTCAAGGGCACATGTCTCGATTGCAGGTTCCATCCCCAGCTCATGCAGGAGGCAACCAATTGATAGCCTACATAATGTTTCTCTCCCTCTCTCCCCTTCCCTCCCTCTCTCCTCTCCTCCCTATTCCCTCCTTCCCCTTTCCTTCCTCTTTCCCTCCTTCCCTTCCATTCTAAGAATCAATGGAAAAAATATCCTCCATTGAGGATTAACAAAAAACAATTAAAAGGCCAGTCTTAAATTGATCTGAATGAATATTGCTGACAAGATAGTTATTCCTTCTATTAGAAAAATATACTATATTCTCTTCATGAATTTACAAACATTCTCTTCTGCCTCCATACTTTTGGGCCATGGGAAAAGTAGAGAGAATATTTGAGGAGTAGAATGATCCTCTGGGGGAAAAAATGACAGGCAAACAAATAGAGAAGACGGGTAGAAATCTTATAGGGTGTAAAGCAAGCTAGTACTTGAATTCTCTCATTTGTTGCAAATTATTAATCAACATTGGTTAATAAGGAAACCATTGAACACGTGAAAATAATAGAGGAATCCACCCTTTAAATTTTAGCATGTTTCTATTTTTCCTATTTTTGCAGAAGAAACCCAAACTTCTCAGCCTAAAGGATTCTTCTATGGCTGATGCCAGCAAGCATGGTGTAGGAACTGAATCATTATTTTTTGATAAGGTAAGTAAATGAATGAATTAGATTTAATACCGGCCATTAATACCAAAAGAAAATCACCATCCTCAAGGTTTTTTTTAGAGGCATCAAGCTGTTTAGGGCTTTCTACTATTTGACATAGTTTATAAGTTGTAGGTCCTTTCAGTGCTAGAGAAATTGTAGCATTGTCTACTTTGATTTTGTGAAATGGTTTGCAACAAAATACTGCATTTTTCATGGTGGAAGACAGCTTTAATAAAACACATGATATATTAAATAGTCTCAAAAGGTTTTTGGAGCCCCCTGTTGCAGGTCTGTACATTGGGGAGTGTCGGTGCACCAGTTGTGGAAGGCTTAAGATGACTCGTAATCTTCTAATCGCTTGTGATACTTATTTGCAGAATCACATATAGAGTTCCTGGGGATTCTGATTTAGTTTTCAAAGCTCCCCAGGTGATTCTAATGAACAGCCTGAAATGGTGATCACTGGTTTAAACGGTATTTTAGGGTGTGTGTGTTTGACCTTTCTCCTGTGTCTGACTTCCTCCTTGGAGCCAACTTGATGATTAGTAGGCTACTTTCATCAGGGTGGCTGGCAACTGTCAGACTTCTCACTGGCGGGAGCCAGCTTGGATTGATCTGCTGGTGATTTACTCTGTCTTGCAATTGTGGGTTTTTGCACAAGGGCGAACGACTTATTATCTCCATTATTGGTGCCTCTTGATCTCATCTCTCTCAAGCCTGCTGTGCTTATGTGAGCTGTTCTGCAAGAAGTCGAGGCTCTGACTTGAATCATTTCTGAGGGCTTCCTGGGCACTTGATGATTCTAATCTAAGGCAAATAAAGAAGTTCAGGTCACAACCAACAAATGTCAAGGAAAGTGTGGGGGTAGGGGGGCAAAATGAGTTCAATTTTTAAAGAGGAATGGTATCTTGTGGTTGTTTCACTTACTGATTTTAGAGAGGGGGAGAGAGAGAAAAAAACATTGATTTGTTGTTCTACTTATCTGTACATTCATTGGTTGGTTTGTGCATGTACCCTTACCAGGGCTCAAACCCACAACCTGGGACAATGCTCTAATCCTGGCCAGGGCTGTTGTTGTTTTTGAGTACTACTTCTTTCTTGGAAATATATACTGAGTTAGGTGTAGATGAAATGTCTGGAATTCACTTTAAAACTCATTGGTTGGGAAATGCGTTTAAATGAAACCAAATTTACTATATATCAGTGGTTCTCAACCCCTTTGGCGGTCGAACGACCCTCTCACAGGGGTCGCCTAAGACCATCCTGCATATCAGATATTTACATTACGATTCATAACAGTAGCAACATTACAGTTATGAAGTAGCAACGAAAATAATTTTATGGTTGGGTCACAACATGAGGAACTGTATTTAAAGGGCCAGAAGGTTGAGAACTACTGCTATATATTAATCATTAAGGCAGGGTGATTATATGGGGTTCATTAGAGTATTCTGTTTACTCTGTGTATGTTTAAAAGCTAATAAAAATAAAAAGTAAATATGGTATATAGTACAGCAGTGAAGTGCTCTTTGACCTTCGGCTTTGAAGGTAGATATTTTATTTATTTATTTATTTAAATATATCTTTATTGATATCCGGGAGGAAGGGAGAGGGAAAGAGAAGATAGAAACATCAGTGATGAGAGAGAATCATTGATCGGCTGCCTCCTGCATGTCCCCTACTGGGGATCAAGCCCACAACCCAGGCATGTGCCCTTGACCGGAATCGGACCTGGGACCCTTCAGTCCGCAGGCTGATACACTATCCACTGAACCAAATCAGTTAGGGCATGAAAGTATTTTATATTGTGTTTACTGATTGGTAGTTATGAATAGTATATGGGAGCCTGGAGAAGGGGTTGATAAAACCACATGGTCTGCAATCCCCCAATAAAGGAACACAGTGCTAAATACTTACTTCTGAAATTAAAACTTCAGCTTGCTCATCTAGCCAGGCTAGTTTTACTTTGTCTATGCCACTGAACAGTTTTAGATTTTTGTATATTAAAATGCTTAATATTATAAATGGAAGAAGGAAAAGAATTGGGTCAGAGGACACAAGTATCTTATTTAAAAAGATCATTATTTAAGATTACCAAAACAGTGTTGACAAGATTCTTGCTGTAAACATCTGTTAGGAGAGGAAACAGAAACTTGAAGTACTCTGATTTTGGTTTGGAGAATCAAGAGTATGAGAAGGTAAATGTCTTACTTCAGGATCTCATTTTGAAAAATTTTTTATTATGGAAAATTTTAAACATGTGAAATTAATTAAAGAGAATAGTAAACTGACTCCTCATTACCCATCATCCAGTTGCTAGCCAATATTGCTTCTTTCATGTGTGCTCTCATCCACCCCAAATTGCTTGCAGACAGCACCCAGATATTATTTAATTCAGTTTCCTTTTAAAATAAAACCTTTTTTCAAACGTAATCATTAACACATACAAAAAAATGTTAATTTCTTAGAATCATCAGATAACTTCAAATTTCCTTAGTCATTTAAAAGTAATCCCAGATCGCTTCATTCCCCACTTAATCATTCTCTTCTGGTTGTCTCCATAAGGTTCGAAAGGCTCTGCGGAATGCAGAGGCCTATGAAAATTTCCTGCGCTGTCTTGTTATCTTTAACCAGGAGGTGATCTCTCGGGCTGAGCTTGTGCAATTAGTCTCTCCTTTCCTGGGGTAAGTAGAGTTGAGGGGGCTTAGCTCTGATGCAGGATATGGAATTGAAATAAACTTAGTTTGTGAGAGTATATGATAGGCAAAATTAATTTGATTGTGTTAGGTCATTTGGCTCATACAATGTCAAGAGTCTTCTGGAAAGTCTTCTATTTCAACTCTAGAGATGAAAAAAATTAGAGAGGCCATTGGCTAGCACTAGTGGTAGTCTCCTGATCCCCTGATCAGTGTAGGATGTTATAGAGACCAGTCTATTCCAGGATTCTAGAGTCTTGATTGTATTTGACAACCTAAAAATGATCTTAATACTGAAGCAATATCCTTGGCTTTGTCTGATTTCGGTGCACTCTTCTATCACCACCTTAACTGACTGTAGAGCACTCTGTAAGAAAAGGGGAAGCCAAATACTTAGAAGCAATAATTGCCATTGGACTTTGTTCTTGGTAGCAAAGTTCTGACTTAACACCAAATAGTGGTAGTCATATCTCAGAATAACTGCACCATGCTTCTAATTGCTCACCAGTTTTTGGTTTGATTTTTCAGGAAATTCCCTGAATTGTTTAATTGGTTTAAAAACTTTCTGGGCTATAAGGAGTCTGTACATTTGGAAACCTTTCCAAAGGAACGAGCTACAGAGGGCATTGCCATGGAAATAGATTATGCCTCTTGTAAACGGTTGGGTTCCAGCTACCGAGCCCTCCCAAAGAGTTACCAGCAGCCCAAGTGTACAGGACGGACTCCTCTCTGTAAAGAGGTAAGGCCTTCCCCAGAAAGGAACAACCCTGAAACCTCAACTTTCTCTGGAAGGGAATGGTCCTAGGGATCAAGAATTTATATCAGTGAAGAAATCAAGATATCTCTCTCTCTCTCTATATATATATATATGTGTGTGTGTGTGTGTGTGTGTGTGTGTGTGTGTGTGTGTGTGTGTTTTATTGATTTCAAAGAGGAAGGAGAGGGAGATAGAGATAGAAACATCAATGATGAGAGAGAATCATCGATTGGCTGCCTCCTGCACGCCCCTTACCCGGGATCAAGCCCACAACCCGAGCATGTGCCCTTGACTGGAATCGAACCTGGGACCCTCCAGTCTGCAGGCCGACGCTCTATCCACTGAGCAAAACCAGCCAGGGCTCTGTTGTTTTTTAAAAGAAAATGTTTTACGCTTATATTCAGAACCTTTTCCTTACTCTAATATATGTTGTAAACTTGCTAAAGGGGAAGCTTATAATGTTAAATGATTCTTCCTTCTCCTAGAATTGTGTCTTTTTATTGAGAATATTTACTTGCCAGAAAGCTTTGTTACACTTTTGTTTCAATTTCTGTTCTATTACCTAAAGGTTTTAAATGATACCTGGGTTTCCTTCCCTTCCTGGTCTGAAGACTCCACCTTTGTTAGTTCCAAGAAAACTCAGTATGAAGAACATATCTATCGTTGTGAAGACGAACGCTTTGAGGTACAGCTTCCTTGATTATTTGAAGTTTGGGAAAATGGGAGATGCTAAATAAAATATCTTAAATACTTATCTGTGAGGGTTGACTTTTAAGACTAAAGAGTCAGAGGTTCATGTTCTTTTGTGGTAAATGCTTGTTGTACTTACCATACTTTAAGAGTTTGTCAAATATGTTAGTAATATTTTTATGGCAAATGTGACTTATCTAGGCCACTTTAACCCTTTTAATTGAAATCAATTGATAGCTGAATAATAATTTGAAATTTTTAAAAATATATTTTATTGATTTTTTACAGAGAGGAAGGGAGAGAGGGAGAGAGAGTGAGAAACATCGATGAGAGAGAAACATCGATCAACTGCCTCCTGTACACCCCCTACTGGGGATATGAC